TGAGTGTTCATAGTGAAATGAGGGTGGAGACAGAAACTCTAGGAACGTATTTTTCAATTGCTATAATAACGTTTACTATGAAAAGGCGTGCTCTAACACACGTAGTAAACAGTCTACTTCCCGTTATCTGCCTGTCACTGTTGAATAGTTTCGTATTTATTTTACCAGCAGACGGGGGAGAAAGAACTGGCGTATCGATATCCCTGTTGTTGTCTTACGCCATTTACATGACCTACATAAACCAAACGTTGCCATCCAATTCGGACACGCTCAGTTATTTTAGTATTTATTTAGTTTGTCTGATCTGTAAAAGTTCTCTTATTGCCCTGGCAACAACCATCAGTCTTTGGCTTCATGACAAAAAGAAAGCACAGGCAGTGGCGTGGTCTCCATTTACCCGTACCCCATCTCCAAAAATAATTCCTGAAGATCAGATGATGAATACAAAGACATCTGCTTTGAATCTACAGGATATGAATTCATTTGGAGATGACAAGTTTGAGCAGGACTCAAAACTCAACAACACAAAAGTCGACTGTACATCACATGGGACCAGGCAACCAAATGAGTGGAGCGTAAGAGCAATCAAATTTGATTGGTTTTGTTGCATATTTTTTATTAGTTGTTCATTGTTGATGCCAACTGTTTGTATTGCTCTGATGCTTACATAAGATGGCAACTTGATCAAATCTTACCAATAGTAAGTAGGCCTACATCTCTTAAGCACTTTGACTGACCCAAACTGCTCAAAACCACTGTACTATGGAAGGCCAAACAGCTCTTTATTCAGTTTTCTTAATTCTTAGTTCATAGTCCTCAATTCTTATTTCTTTATTTGTTGTCGTCTTTCGACATTTGTACACTAAAATTTGTATCTTAAAATCAATATTTGTTTTACAAATCAGACATTTGTCAGATCGAGCATGCATATTATACAATAAGAAAAATTGCTCGATGACCGTGATTTTAGTCAAATCATGATCGTGTTATATATGTTTCTATTATATATGCTTTTGTTAATCTGATCTAGCACTATATAAAATAAATTGAAAGTAGTTTATTTTTAGTAATTAGATTATTTTTTAATAGTGACATGTATGGTGGCCTATCGTTATAATTCAGGTTTTAACAAAATTTCTTTAAAAACCTAAATAAAATGAAATGAAAATGAAAGATAGGTTGCCAGGCAACGGATTATACGCCCACAGCAGCTAAATCGTCCGGGCAGTCAACAAGAGTTGACACTAAAATCTGATTAAGAGTAACAACTCATGAAGTAATTATCAGAAAATCATTAGAATTTGTTTGTTTTTTTTAAAGTTCTGCCCCAAGTTAACGTTTACTGTACGAAACATTTAATATCGTGGATTTACCTGTTAAAGTTATCAAAATTCATTGAAAATCAATATACTTGTTTGTCTCAAGACCTTAAACACTGTATGAATTTAAAGTAAATCGTATATTAACTTTGTCCTCTAGAGCATCCACAAGATATTTTGAAGTGATCAAGTACCATAACTTTGGTAGTAATTATCGGAAATCGCTGAAAATCAATATGCTTCTTCCTCTCATGACCTTAAACACTGTGTATAAATTTAAAGTCAATCGAATATTAACTTTGGCATCAAGAGCGTCCACAAGATTTTTTGAAGTGATAAAGGGGAATAACTCTGGCAGTAATTGTCAGAAACTGCTGAAAACCAAAAGGCTTCCTCTTCTCATGACCTTAAACACTGTGTATAAATTTAAAGTCAATCGGATATTAACTTTGGCCTCTTGAGCGTTCACAAGATTTTTTGAAGTGATCAAGAGCCATAACTCTGACAGTATTTATCGGATATTGCTGAAAATCAATAGACTTCTGTGTCTCATGACCTTAAACACTATATATAAATTTAAAGTCAATCGGATATTAACTTTGGCCTCTAGATCTTCCACAAGATATTTTGAAGTGATCAAGGGCCTTAACACTGGCAGTAATTATCGGAAATCGCTGAAAATCAATAGGCTTCTTCATCTCATGACCTTAAACACTGTGTATCAATTTAAAGTCAATCGGGTATTAACTTTACCCTCTAGAGCGTCCACAAGCAATTGTAGACGCCGGACAGGCGGGGGCGACGACAATATACGACCACATTTCAATGTGGGCGTATAAAAACAAAGTCAAAATCAAAATTAAATTAAAAGCTAAAGTTCAACCAAAAGCAAAAGTTAAATCAAAACTAAAAATTAAATCAAAAGCAAAAATAAAAATAAAAGTAAAAGTAAAATTAAAACCAAAATGTAAATTAAAATCAAATGAAAACTAAAACCATTTTTAAAATAATTTAAAAAGTAAAAGTAAAAAGCAAAATAAAAATATTTGTCGGTCTTTCGCTATCATTCAACATTTTTTCACGCAAAAGTAAAATAAAAAATTTCGGCAGGCCTATCATTCAACGTCCTTGACCCCGATCGGTAACCGTCAGCTATTTCCGACCGCTTCGACTTGACAGTTTGTTCTCCTGCGGTACAAATAAAACTGAATCAGAACAGTATTTTCTTATGGAATGTGAAGAGTATAAAGATTTGTGAAAACAATATATATATATATCCAACCGTAAACATTACTGGTCAAACCTTTTCTTTTAATAACCTCTTCAATCCATCAAGCATCATAGCCCCGAGTGTTGCAGAATTTGTAATTTATATGTCTACATAATATTATATTACTCGTATCTATTTTATGCGCTCATTATGTTTTTTTTATTGTATGCTTGGTTTATATTGTCTGTCTGTAAATTGATGCCCATGTATGACTTTCTCATCTTTACATATTGTATATGGCTGCCCTAAAAGGGCGTTCTGATGCAATCAAATTCTATTTTGTTCTTTTCTATTCTATATACACATTTACACATTCGTTAGTGTAATGGTAGACGTTACTGATTAAGCGTTGCATTATGCTCTACACTACCGCCGCCTTTAGATGGGTGGCCCTCAAGACGCAGCTATACCCAAGGTTAGGTTGTCGCTGTGAGTTTTTTTCGGAGAGAAGAGGCACTCCAACGCCCCCGTTGGCCAAACAATGTGACAAGATGCCCCGTCAAGAACCAAACCCGCTAATCCAGGCAGCTGAAAGTTTGATGCCATATTGTCTAGCCAGTTCGGCGAGACAAACTTCGATTTAACTGAAGAATTATCGATCAAAGGGAAATTGTGCCTGGACAGATATTGATCAGATATTATGTACTTTCTTCGTGCATTGCAGACCGTTTAATTGTCATCTGATACAGAGGTTTTAATAAGACGGCTTTCGCAATACCTTTGTGAAACGGGGAGTTGGATGGCTAAATGGTTAGCACCACGTGCTGTATCATAAAGACCCCTATGCGCAAGCAAATTATTGAAATAAAATTGAACCATATATGTTAGTTCTGAAATGACCTAGTTTGTGTGGAGTGGACATTAAACCAAATTTCTCTCTCTCCCTCTCTCTCTCTCTCTCTCTCTGTGAAACAGATTGATCATAATACTGTGCAACATATTGTCCATAGCTTATCTTTACTTTTTAGATGTCAAACAGAGGAGATATAAATAAATCAAATTGTAAATATACTCATCACTTCAATATAAACTCTCCAAGCTTTTAGCTAATGAGGTTTTTGATCTAAATAATTACGATATTATAATTGTGAATACATTCTATAGTTTAGAGATAATGGAAATCCATCCGCTACAAATTAATTGCATCCTTATTATTACTTTACTGTGTACAGAATAGACGTTATTGTTAGAACAAAGTAGATTTCATAAGTTCTGTTTGATCAGGATATCAAATTAGGAATGTATTAATGTTCATCATAATGTAGTTATTCAACCATGGAATAGTATTACCGTTATGTATTATAAATTATGTATGTACTATTGTTCATCATAATGTAGCTGTTATTTAGTTATGCTGCTGTAACATCAGGTGTGTTGTTTGTGCTGTCTCCAGAATTGACTACTGTTCACAAATGTATTATTGAGTTTCAAAACTGCAAGAATTCAAAGTTGTGCTGTTTAAACTTATTCAGTTTTAAGACAAATTACGTTGTTTTTGTATTTGAGAAAGTATTAATTTCAAAATATTATCTTTAACTTTAAATCGACCTTTTAACAGATCTACTCCAAGTTCTCTTCAAAATATTGTATCGTAGAAAATGTTTATTGGATGTACCTGCTCATAATTTGAAAACTGTGTGGAAAACTATTCCAGTGTAGATCAATGTGATTTTGTGTCAGTTGTAAAATCCTAATGTGACCAGCTGCTGCCAGGCAAGATACGCCCACATTTTGCAAGAGATGGATAGAGAACAAGCTAAACAAAAAGTGATTTTTCTTACAATCAAGGGTCATAATTCAGTAAGTTACGATCCGATATGCGGGAATATCAAAAGAAACCAAGATCTTTGGGTTAACTGCTATCATTAACAATACAAACTGTGAACATTTTCTGGCACCTAGAACATTACATACTGAATTGAACAGTTGAGTAACATATATGGTTTTCACTTTTTACATGCTGACTTATTTTTTTTTTATTTTAGATATAAACAGTGATCAAAATGTTCACCCATAACTGAGATTCTCTACAGGATATAACTGAGACTATCCATGGGATATAACTGACATTATCCACAGGATATAACTGAGATTATCCACAGGATATAACTGAGACTATCCATGGGATATAACTGACATTATCCACAGGATATAACTGAGATTATCTATGGAATATAACTTAGTTTTCCCAAGGAATATAACTGACATTATCCAAGGAATATAACTGACATTCTGCACATGATGTAACTGGCATTATCCAAAGAATATAACTGAGATCTGAAAGTAAGATAGATGACGTTATGGCTATTTTTCAAAGAACAACATCAACTGTTCTCTGTACCACCATCATTATATCTATGTTACTCGTCATTCCTATATATTCTTTTAACGAGTCACTGTTTATAAAAAGTCTTCTCGCTGGGTACGATCCTCTGGTACGACCAAGTCAAAATGGAGCAGACACTTATGTAACTTTATATATATCCCCTTTGTTAATAGCAGAACTGGATGAACAAAAACAACTTTTAAAGACTGCTATTGGTTGTACTATGATATGGCAAGATAACTTGTTGACATGGGAGACAGTGAATTCCACGATAACCTCTTTGATTTTACCGGCAAATTACATATGGACACCAGATATAATGATCGGCAATTCTGCTAATACCGACAACCAATTAGATACAGCCCAAAGCAAAGCTTTTGTACACAACAGACCATATAATCACCATGTCAGACTAACTGTTACCAATATATACGTTACTACATGTTCAGTTGAGGTTTTGAAATTTCCATTCGATACCCAGATATGTAAGATATTCTTAACTCCTAATGGGGGAAATTCCTCGAAAATTATTCTGAGGACAGATTCAAATACCGGTATAAACTTTGCCTTTTTTCAAAACAGTTCCGAATGGGATCTAGTTGATTTGAGTGTTCATAGTGAAATGAGTGTGGAGGGAGAAGCTCTAGGAACGTATTTTTCAATTGCTATAATAACGTTTACTTTGAAAAGGCGTGCTCTAACACATGTAGTAAACAGTCTACTTCCTGTTATCTGCCTGTCACTGTTGAATAGTTTCGTATTTATTTTACCAGCAGACGGGGGAGAAAGAACTGGCGTATCGATATCCCTGTTGTTGTCTTACGCCATTTACATGACCTACATAAAGCAAACGTTGCCATCCAATTCGGACACGCTCAGTTATTTTAGCATTTATTTAGTTTGTCTGATCTGTAAAAGTTCTCTTATTGCCATGGCAACAACCATCAGTCTTTGGCTTCATGACAAAAATAAAGCACAGGCAGTGGCGTGGTCTCCATTTACCCGTACCCCATCTCCAAAAATAATTCCTGAAGATCAGTTGATGAGGACAAAGACATCTGCTATGAAACTACAGGATATGAATTCATTTGGAGATGACAAGTTTGAGCAGGACTCCAAACTCAACAACACAAAAGTCGACTGTACATCACATGGGGCCAGGCAACCAAATGAGTGGAGCGTAAGAGCAATCAAATTTGATTGGTTTTGTTGCATATTTTTTATTAGTTGTTCATTGTTGATGCCGACTGTTTGTATTGCTCTGATGCTTACATAAGATGGCAACGGTTTTGTTGCATATTTTTTATTAGTTGTTCATTGTTGATGCCGACTGTTTGTATTGCTCTGATGCTTACATAAGATGGCAACTTGATCAAATCTTACCAATAGTAAGTAGGCCTACATCTCTTAAGCACTTGGACTGACCCAAACTGCTCAAAACCACTGTACTATGGAAGGCCAAACAGCTCTTTATTTAGTTTTCTTAATTCTTAGTTCATAGTCCTCAATTCTTATTTCTTTATTTGTTGTCATATTTCGACATTTGTACAGTAAAATTTGTATCTTAAAATCAATATTTGTGTTACAAATCAGACATTTGTCAGATCGAGCAAGCATATATACAATAAGAAAGATAGATTGCCAGGCAACGAACATACACCCACAGCAAATAAATCGTCCGGGCAGTCAACAAGGGTTGTCGCATATTTTTACTTTTTCGGTAATGAAACATTTATAATACACTAAAATCTGATTAAGAGCAACAACCCACGAAGTAATTATTAGAAAACTATTAGAATTTGTTTGGTTTTTATAAAGTTCTGCCCCATGCTAACGTTTTGTATGCAAAGCTTTTAATATCATAGATTATACTTGTTCGTCTCAAGATCTTAAACTCTGTGTATCAATCTGATGTCAATCGGATGATAACTTAAGGGCCATAACTTTGGCAGTAATTATCGGAAATCGTTGAAAATCAATAGGAATCTTCGTCTCATGAACTCAAACACTGTGTATAAATTTAAACTCAATTGGATATTAAGATTTTTTGCAGTGATCAAGGGCCATAACTCTGGCAGTAATTATCGGAAATCGCTGAAAATCAATAGGTTTCTTCGTCTCATGACCTTAAACACTGTGTATGAATAGGCTTCTTCGTCTCATGACCTCAAACACAGTGTATAAATTTAAAGTCAATCGAATATTAACTTTGGCATCAAGAGCGTCCACAAGATTTTTTGAAGTGATAAAGGGCCATAACTCTGGCAGTAATTGCCAGAAACCAATAGGCTTCCTCGTCTCATGACCATAAACACTGTGTATAAATTTAAAGTCAATCGAATATTCACTTTGGCCTCTTGAGCGTCCACAAGATGTTTTGAAGTGATCAAGAGCCATAACTCTGGCAATATTTATCGGAAATCGCTGAAAATCAATAGGTTTCTTCGTCTCATGACCTTAAACACTGTGTATGAATAGTCTTCTTTGTCTCATGACCTTCAACACTATGTATAAATTTAAAGTCAATCGGATATTAACTTTGGCCTCTAGAGCGTCCACAAGATATTTTGAAGTGATAAAGGGCCTTAACACTGGCAGTAATCAATAGGCTTCTTCGTCTCATGACCTTAAACACTGTGTATCAATTTAAAGTCAATCGGATATTTACCCTCTAGAGCGTCCAAAAGCAATTGTGGACGCCGGACCGACGGACAGGCGGGGGCGACGACAATGTGGGCGTATAAAAACAAAGTCAAAATCAAAATTATATTAAAAGCTAAAGTTCAACCAAAAGCAAAAGTTAAATCAAAACTAAAAATTAAATCAAAAGCAACAATAAAAATAAAAATAAAAATAAAAGTAAAACCAAAATGTAAATTAAAATCAAATGAAAACTAAAACCATTTTTAAAATAATTTAAAATTTAAAAGTAAAAAGCAAAATAAAAATATTTATCGGTCTTTCGCTATCATTCAACATTTTTTCACGCAAAAGTAAAATAAAAAATTTCGGTAGGCCTATCATTCAACGTCCTTGACCCCAATCGGTAACCGTCAGCTATTTCCGACCGCTTCGACTTGACAGTTTGTTCTCCTGCGGTACAAATAAAACTGAATCAGAACAGTATTTTCTTATGAAATGTGAAGAGTATAAAGATTTGTGAAAACAATATATATATATCCAACCGTAAACATTACTGATCAAACCTTTTCTTTTAATAACCTCTTCAATCCATCAAGCATCATAGCCCCGAGTGTTGCAGAATTTGTGATTTATATGTCTACATAATATTATATTACTCGTATCTATTTTTGCGCTCATTATGTTTTTTTTATTGTATGTATGGTTTATATTGTCTGTCTGTAAATTGATGCCCGTGTATAAATTTCTCATCTTTACATATTGTATATGGCTGCCCTAAAAGGGCGTTCTGATGCAATTAAATTCTATTTTGTTCTTTTCTATTCTATATACACATTCGTTAGTGTAATGGTAGACGTTACTGATTAAGCGTTGCATTATCCTCTACACTACCGCCGTCTTTAGATGGGTGGCCCTCAAGACGCAGCTATGCCCAAGGTTAGGTTGTCGTTATGGGTTTTTTCGGAGAGAAGAGGCACTCCAACGCCCATGTTGGCCAAACAATGTGACAAGATGCCCCGTCAAGAACCAAACCCGCTAATCCAGGCAGCTGAAAGTTTGATGTCATATTGTCTAGCCAGTTCGGCGAGACAAACTTCGATTTAACTGAAGAATTATCGATCAAAGGGAAATTGTGCCTGGACAGATATTGATCAGATATTATGTACTTTCTTCTTGCATTGCAGACCGTTTAATTGTCATCTGATACAGAGGTTTTAATAAGACGGCTTTCTTCGTGCATTGCAGACCGTTTAATTGTCATCTGATACAGAGGTTTTAATAAGACGGCTTTCGCAATACCTTTGTGAAACGGGGAGTTGGATGGCTAAATGGTTAGCACCACGTGCTGTATCATAAAGACCCCTATGCGCAAGCGAATTATTGAAATAAAAGTGAACCATATGTTAGTTCTGAAATGACCTTGTTTTTGTCGAGTGGACATTAAACCAAATTTTTTTCTCTCTCTCTCTCTCTCTCTCTCTCTCTGTGGAACAGATTGATCAAAATACTGTGCAACATATTGTCCATACGCTTATCTTTACTTTTTAGATGTCAAACAGAGAAGATATAATTAAATCAAATAGTAAATATACTCATCACTTCAATATAAACTTCCCAAGCTTTTAGCTAATGCATCCTTATAATTACTTTACTGTGTACAGAATAGACGTTATTGTTAGAACAAAGTACATTTCATAAGTTCTGTTTGCTCAGGATATCAATATAGGAATGTTTTAATGTTCATCATAATGTATTTGGTACACCATGGAATAGTATTACAGGTAGATTTTTTATACTTTAATAGTGACATGAAGCTGTCATTTAGTTATGCTGCTGTAACCTCAGGTGGGTTGTTTATGCTGTCTCCACTACTGTTCACAAATGTATTATTGAGTTTCAAAACTGCAAGAATTCAAAGTCGTGCTGTTTAAACTAATTCAGTTTTAAAACAAATTACATCGTTTTTGTGTTTGACAAAGTATTATTTTCAAAATATTATCTTTAACTTTAAATCGATCTTTTAACAGATCTGCTGCATCTTACTAGTCATAATTTGAAAACTGTGTGGAAAACTATTCCAGTGTATATCAATGTGATTTTCTGTCAGTTGTGAAATCTAATGTGAAAACTTAGTTAACTGCTATCATTAAGAATACAAACTGTGAATATTTTCTGACACCTAGAACATTATATACTGAATTGAACAGTTGAGTAACTTATATTGTTTCCACTTTTTACATGCTGACTTATATTTTGTTATTTTGGATTTAACAAGTGGGATATAACTGAGATTATTCACAGGATATAACTGAGATTATCCACAGGATATAACTGAAATTATTCATGGAATATAACTGAGATTATCCACAGGATATAACTGAAATTATCCATGGAATATAACTGAGATTATCCGAGGAATATAACTGAGATTATCCATGGAATATAACTGACATTATCCATGGAATATAACTGATATTCTTCACAGGATATAACTGATAGTCTCCAAGGAATATAACTGACACCATCCATGGGATATAACTGACATTACCCAAGGAATATAACTGACATTTTCCACAGGATATAACTGACATTATCCACAGGATGTAACTGGCATTATCCAAGGAATATAACTGCGATCGGAAAGTAAGATAGTTGAGGTCATGGCTATCTTTCTAGGAACATCATCAACTGTTCTTTGTACCACCATTATTATATCTCTGTTAATTATCATTCCTATATATTCTTTTAACGAGTCACTGTTTATTAAAAGTCTGCTCGCTGGGTACGATCCTCTGGTACGACCAAGTCAAAATGGAGCAGACATATATGTAACTATGCATATATTACCTTTGTTAATAGCAGAACTGGATGAACAAAAACAACTTTTAAAGACTGCTATTGGTTGTACTATGATATGGCAAGATAACTTGTTGACATGGGAGACAGTGAATTCCACGATAACCTCTTTGATTTTACCGGCAAATTACATATGGACACCAGATATAATGATCAGCAATTCTGCTAATACCGACAACAAATTAGATACAGCCCAAAGCAAAGCTTTTGTTCACAATAGTCCATATAATCACTATGTCAGACTAACTGTTAACAATATATACGTTACTACATGTTCCGTTCAAGTTTTGAAATTTCCATTCGATACCCAGATATGTAAGATATACTTAATTCCTAATGGGGGAAATTCCTCCAAAATTATTCTAAGGCCAGATTCAAATACCGGTATAAACATGGTCATTTTTCAAAACAGTTCCGAATGGGATCTACTTGATTTCAGTGTTTATAGTGAAATGAGAGTGGAGACAGAAACTCTAGGAACGTATTTTTCAATTGCCATAATAACGTTTACTATGAAAAGGCGTGCCCTAACACACGTAGTAAATAGTCTACTTCCTGTTATCTGTCTGTCACTGTTGAATAGTTTCGTATTTATTTTACCAGCAGACGGGGGAGAAAGAACTGGCGTATCAATATCCCTATTGTTGTCTTACGCCATTTACATGACCTACATAAACCAAACGTTGCCATCCAATTCGGACACGCTCAGTTATTTTAGCATTTATTTAGTTTGCCTGATCTGTAAAAGTTCTCTTATTGCCTTGGCAACAACCATCA